GAAGAAGAAGAAGAAGAAGTGAATTCTCCAGAGCGAATTTCAAAGGCATCAAGTCTGAGAAACTTGCAAAAACCCCCGAGCAAGAAGCAGTGGAAAAGTTGCCGGAGCAAAGCCTTTCCAAGATGAGGAATATTTGCGCAATGACACGCACGCATAGGAGGAAGTTTTTGGGAATATCTTCGTGAAAGTTTCTCCTCTTTTTTTTTGCGCATCAAGGACATTAAAAGTCGCCGTGTCCGAGGCAGGGGAGATAAGATTGTATCAGCGTCCCTGTATCCTGCCGGAGGGCGATGGGGGCCGCGCCGGGCTCGGGCTGGGAGGAGGGCGAGTTCGAGTTCAAGCTGGTGTTTGAGGAGGATCCGCCGCCGCGCCAGAGCCAGGGGCCGTCCCCGGTGCGCACAACCGAGCCGGAGAGCTCCGTGGCCAGGGAGGAAAGCGAGGGCGCCCTGCTGCACCTGGATTCCAGCAGCCTGGGTTAGACTCCTTCTTTGAGTGGATGAAAGTGTTAAATTAAACATGACGATATAGGTTTTAATGCATGGGAATGCGTGCGTCTCTGTGGTGATGGAGGGCCTTCATGTTATGTGCGTGCCTGCTTCTGCATATTTTTCACTTGTGTGTTTGTTTTGCGTTTGCGTGCATATCTCGCTGTATCCCGAGTGCATTTGTGTGTTTGTGCATGTGTGCGTGCAGCCCCAGACTCAATGTGTTTCCAATCAGCTGTGCGTGTGAGTGAAGTTAACAGCTGCCATCTGGGGAGGAACCTCAACCTCTGTGTACTGAACACGCACCACATACACACCTCCCTCCCTCCCTGTTTCACTCACCCCTTCATCTCCCTCATTTTTTTTTTTTTTTTTACCTCCACTCTCTCACACATGCACACCTCACATCCTCACATGCACTCATTTGTTTCCCGCCCACACTGGCATACAGTTGTATCACCACACCCAAGGCATGAAAGTGAACTGCAGGAGAAACAACAGAGCATTTCTTCACTTTGGGTGATAAGTTGTTCTGTTTATTTGTTAGTTGTTTTACATTTCAGCAGGCAAACTCTTACACGGGCTGACCTTTGCATCGCTCCTGGATTTCCATACATGTAGTCATGTAGCATGTCAGTGTAACACAACTTTTTTGGCTTCTGAATACAAGAAGTTTCGACTTGTCACCCTGATCCAACTAAAAAGTTAGTCTGAGATGCTCGACGAGGCCAAATAGAGCGATTTCTCAAGATATCTGCTGAAAAACAGTGATTTATTTTTCCCAAAGGTACAATCTGTAGCCCATGTTTAGCTGGTTAAAGCGTAGTTGGAGTCATTTAACAAGAAATCCAAAGGTTGTTGTGGTGCAGTCGACACTGCGTTCCTTTCTAAATGAATTCTATTTACGGCAACCGCCATGAATCACACTCTGAAACTGATTTTAAAAATCTAAATTTAATGTCGTGTCATGACTGCCGCCTGTTTTATGAGGTCAGTGTTTGTGTTAAACTCTGAAAAAAATGGAATTGTTGGACCAACGTTGACAGATTGCTTCATGTAGTAACACGCAATTGAATGAAGTTTATAGAATAGACTTAATTTATTGTTATTGCAAAGTGTACAGTGAAATTAATCAGGAATTTTGTCTGCATTCGCACATGAAGACGTTTTTTAAAAGTACAGTAAGAAATGTGCAAATATGTGCAACCAAAAAATGGTATTTGCAGGTGCATTTATGAAAACCGTGGTGGCATATTCTATTAACGATAGTTGACGCTAATTAAGTTTTAAAATATTTCGATGCCACTGTTTTGAAGCTAGATGTACTTTAATGATTTGGTTCCTCTCAGATGCTGCGACTTAATTTGAAAGAAAGTCAACTTGAAGTTTCCAATTTCTCCAACTCAATCGTTCACTTTACACAAGCGTAAAATGTACAACGTGATTTTGCCATTAGACGTACAGCTCTTTCCATTTCTCTGTAACCCTGCCTGAAGAAGACAGTAGTTGAGTTGCAGCAGAAAAATTTGAAGAAACGTGGACGCCATGACGTGCTGCACACTCCTGTGTAAGCAGTAAACCCAGTTTTCACTTCTGAAATCAGAAATTAAAGTGAAATTATGTGAACGATGCCAGTTTAAAGGGACAAAGTGCAAATTCATGATAATTGAATCCAACAACTCCCTTCACAAAAGCAGAAAGATGAATTAGATTTACTACAGATGTTTCACAGTAAAGTGTTATCTAGTGTTTATAGAGAACATTCTGATAAAGGAAACACAATTCGGTGTGGGAAAAGTACTTTCATGCTCATATAATGACCGCTTGGATCTGTTTTGTGACCTCTTGAGTGGACGCTGACCCCAATTTGGGAGCCACTGATGTAAAAATCACATTTTGTTAGTCATTATACTCCCCACAATCACAAGTATTTTTGGTCTGTTAGACTTTATATGAGACTTCCCATAAAACTGACTCATACATCTGAATGATTTGTATCATAAACAGTTTTAAGAGGAGAACTGAATGTGCTAACTTCCCTATTAAGTTTGAGAAACAAAGAAAAGTGAAAAGAAATAACGATAGTTTTGTGTAGCAGAAATATGTCTTTTTTTTTACTTGCTTAACCATAATTTCTAATTTATTGCATTTTTATATCACAGATGATAAAAAAAACACCCATTGAGGGAAAATTCACTATTAATTTGAACTATTTTGAGGGAAAACAGGAACTATTTGAGGAGAATCTGAAAAGTAAACATTGCTTTGTGTAGCAGAAATGTGTATTTATGCCTTCGATGATTATCTCATGAGGCTGCACGTTTATATTTCAACTGCTGAAACCAGGTTGGGAAGATCTAATTATCATTCCTTGCGTGAGGTTCATGTCAGGATACAAGATTAAGTAGTGAAGTATATTTGGAGTGCAGATGAGGCTTTACCTAAGCAAGCAGCAAACTGATCACGTCTTTTGATGCTTTTCATATTAGTAAAAAAAAAAACAAAAATATAGGTACTTTGAGACAGTGTGCTAAGTAGGTCAGGATTTCCAGGAGAATGCAGCTGTGTTTAGTAGCTATCTTGTAAATTTAGTTGGAAATTAAAATGATCTGTTAATTTGCAAGATAACAAAAGGAACAAAGAGTGGAAAAAACATTAAAAAAACGAACGCAATTTTGTGACTTGATTATGTTTATTCTGGTTTCTAATTGCGTTAAACATCTCTGGATGACGATGGCTCGTTGCGAAAGCTTCATCTCAGGGCAGGATGAAATATTTTAGGATGTTAGATCTGAGGATTAGGCTTCGGAAAACAACTGATTGCCTTCAATGACTTCAGGCAATAATACAGTTTTCTGCTCATCTGTATGCAATATATATACACGTTGACAAATAGCTATAGGGCACATGCAATGTATTTAAGAGGAAAAAACAAGTAGCAATAGCAAAACGTCTGCTAATTTTGTCGCCTTTTCTGCTTTCCTTTCTCACTCATAGGGGCCCTGACCTACAGTTTAGGTGTAAACGTTGCATTTTTTGGGGTTCAGGTCAGGACACTGACTTACACATGAAAGTATATTAGATCTTTTAGACATAAGATCAGCTTTTTTGTGGTCATTAAGTGTTAGGTAAGTTTTCGTGGCTCATAAACCTCTCTGCTGGTCTGCACACAAACATCTAAATCACCGTTTCATGTGAACAAAAAAAAAAAAAAACACCCACCAGCAGAAGAGTTGCCTCAGCACTGCAGCTTTAATCACTTGGAAATATTTTTTGTTGCCAGGAAACATTTGAAGAGATTTTTTTTCACCCCAAAGTCTTAATTTGTTGGCAGTTGCTGTTGTGTGTTGCCCAAAAAAAATTGCCTGCATGGCCCGCCGCCACTGCAGAGCAACGGCTGGAGCCTCGTTCATTACAGAGTAACTACTGTTTGGCTCCGCGTCGAGGCCCGACCGAACCGTGCTGGGGAAATGTTGGGATGAGGGCTGCGGCCTTGAGGGGTTGTGTCCTCGCCCGGGTGGCTGTTTGGCGAAAGTTTTGTAGAGCTCGTGAAAAAAAAACAAAACAATTATTATGTTAACTGTCAAGGCTAGCAGCAGAAACGGGTGTGTGGTTCTTAGTTTGGATAAATGAGCCAAAAGCAAACTCCAGGATTTGGTTAGAATTTCCATTTCACCATTTACTGCAGAATTTATGACTATAAAACACACAAAAATGTACTGAAATGGTTCAAAAGCAGAGTTAAAAGTGTAGGAGGGTGTTTAATAAATCCTTGCCAGGAGTGATTACTGATTATAAAACCAAATCCTGCTTTAACCCTTTGAATCTGGAGCAGTGTCTGGGTGTTTTTTTTTGCTCCTGCTGTCACATTTTTACTAACTGTGGGCTTGTTTTTCACTTCAATTTAAAGTCCTACACCTCCATGAAAACAGTACAAGCATGTCTGGAAGTATAGGGAACTCAAAAATATAAATAAAAAATGTTTCTTGTGCAGTGTGACACAATTGTGATGCCATAAATCATATAAAGAAAAAGAAAATGTTAATTTTTTAAAAATTTATTTAACAAAAATGGAGGAAAAAAAACAACTAGAATTAGCATGTACACCATTTTTCAAGTGCCCACAAGTGTTAAAAATATTAAGGGAAAAAATGGAGTTTCGTCATGCTATAGATATTTTACCACTTGCTTTTTAAATTTGCCTCCATACTTGTCTTGCATGTGCATCTATATAAACACTAGCTGCAGTTCAGCTGAAAAGTCACTGAACTTTTAGTCACATGACTTTTGATCACAGCTGAGTCAGTTGTGAATTTTTGAGTGTGCCAGTAATCCAGAATTTTCTTTTTTTTCTTCTTCTTCTTTTTCCTTTTTTTTCGGAATCTGGTTACTGAAAATGGTTATTTTTGGCGATTAATTATTTGAATAAGACATGTAGAGTGGAAGGATTTTGATGTAATATCTCGTTTTGTAGCTCAGTTTTGGAAATTTTTTTCTGACAGATTATACATCACACATGAGTATTTCATGGGTTACTGGAAAGTTGAAAATCCAATGATTCAATTTCTTTTCATAGCTTCTAATTTTGGTGATTTATTTTTTAAAAAGAACACATGCCTTTTAAATTCACTGGATGATTTTGGGGTTATCCTTTTGTTCACATTTTTATTTATATGGTCATCCGGGTTGATATTTCTTACGGCAGTATTAAAGTTAGCATTTACCATTTATTATTTGTGTTAAAAAGAATTGACTAGATAAAGACTAAGACAGAGAAAAAAAATCACACAAACAAATTTAAAATGAACAGGAACAGTTGGATGTTGTAGGAAAGACACTGATATGTTTTCTTGTTGATAGCTGCCAGTTAAAATAACAATTCACCGCCCGTTAGCTTAGCTTAGCATAAAGACTGTAAACAGATGTAAACAGCTAGCATGAACCTACAATGTGCTATTTTTTTAAAGTCTGATTTTCATGCAAATTAGATGAGAGATAATATGGTAATTAATGAGCATTAGAGGTGACCTGAAGTGACCTCACATGTCAAACCGGCAGGTGTGGCTAGCCGTTTCTAGACCTTATGCTAAGCTAAGCTAATCGACTGTTGGGTGCCGCTTCACATTTTCTCAAAATATCAAACTTCTCCATTTCATGAAAGTGACAAAAAGCAGCACTTACTTCAAAGAATTCAACTGAGAAAAAAGTCCCAGTGTGTGCATTTTCCACATGGCAGTAATTACAGTAAATCAAGGAAAACTGATGTGCAACGAATGATAGAGGGCGTGCTGATGATAAAAAATGAATCTTTACTGGCCACAAATTGTGTTTACAATATTTTGATGGCCATCTAATGACTCTTTCTCATGCCAGATGTAAAAGAACTGTCACTGTGCGGTTGAGAGAAAAGATTAATGTGAGGTCACATGACCCCCAAAAACCACAACATGTGATATAAAAAGAAATCATGTTTGTACAAAGCGGAAGAACATGCAATTTTCTGCTAGAAAGCAGCCAGATGACAAATTGTTGCCATGTGGAAGTAAAGGTGTGTATTAGAAAAATTAACAAGCTGTAAACTCTTCATTAGCCGCATTTGTTATGAGCATTTTTTTTAGCTATGAAGTCCAACTTTCACCAACAGGAACATCGTGTGTGTTTGCCAAGTCATGTTCTAAATCAGATCTGGTTTCCTTACTGACATTTATTTATTTTCAGTTACAGACAACCACCTGGCTGCCACTCATGCAGGACACTCCATCAGCATCCCGAGCCCGCCTCCTTCGTCCAATCAGAGGGCAGGGATGCATTCCCCGCCTCCTCGAAGGGCTCCAATCAGAGAGTTTAGTGGAACCTACGAGAGTCTGCCGGCGCGCTCCGTACAGGTGAGACGACCTGCTTACAAGTTTGTTGTAATCTGCAGTTTGAACGAAAGCAAATCAAAATTTTGTTTAAAAAAACAGCTATAATTGATATTTCTACATCAAAGTACAAAGCAAACCGATAGAGACGTGTCACCTCCATGTAAACCTGGTCTTTGTTTAGCTGCAGTTTTGTAGTTTTCAACCACTGCACAGCAGGCATCTCTTCTGTCGGTATGGAAGTTGGTTGGTATGTTACATTCATATGTTTGTCATATTGATTCTCTATGTATGCTTTTGCGTACACACATCTATTGCATATCTGTCTGTTTTGGAAGAGGGATCCACCCTCTATACAGCTTTTCCTGAGGTTTCTTTATTCTGTTTTCTTGGAGAGGACTTCCTTATCCAGACGGAGGTTGCCACATGGTATACAGTTTGCAAAGGCCCTCAAGGCAATATTATTTTGGGCCATTTAAATAAAACCAACTTGATCCGACTGCATACAAACTACTCTGCACCACACACTGGACAGATATAATTAGAAACTAGCTGCATCGTGAAGCCTTTAGCAGCTAATGAGCCAAATATTTCCCTCAAGAGGTGGAGACCAAAAACAGAGCAAAAAGAGAGGAAATCATTGTGTTAGATTGAACAGGTGGACAGAAACAGGACCTCAGATGATGTTGATGTTGCTCTATAACTGCTGTTCTATTTATCATTTTGACTTGTTTCTGCTGCAACCTAGTGGACAAAGCATAATGTTCCCCTGCTTTAAGGACACTTTTTGCTTGTTTTAAACCACTAACCTCAGATTATGATGCACATTATCACAGTTATGACACAAGTGTTTATTTCTGCTCAAACTCAGCTAATTAACGCACAGTTTTTAAATGTTATGTCGACTTTAAACATTTTCCAAACTCGCACCCATTCAAGTGTTTGGACCACTAGGTTGATTTTTCAGTTTTCAGGCAACCAGTGGTTTTAGTCAATGAACGCACATCATTTGCAGCTGCTTGGTTTTGATAATCCACATGGTGAACACATTGTTTGCTTTTATTTGTTGTGTTATGCTGTTGTTGGGCAGTTTGTTAAATTTTTTTGCACGTTCGGCTGCTTGTTTACTGGGTTTGAAATGTTTACAAGACCGCTGCTGAAACATGTAGCAGTACTGTTGTGGGTTGAATATTAAAAATTAACATGAAAGATCTGAATTGAGCATGCTTCGGAGGAGTTGTGAAAATCATCTGAGGATTTTTTTGCATGAAAAGGACTGCTGTCCAGTGGGTGACCCAAGTGAAAATCAGTGTCATGTGTGCACCAAGAGTTCACACTTGCATTGCCACATAAATACGACATTATGTTGACAAAATATAAAAGCTGCTAAATGCTCAGTTTGGTAGATTTTGTTCATAGAGTAAGAGTCAGGTTTTAGCCACTAAAATGAGTGTGGAATGTCTGCAACCTGTGATATGTTTTATTTGCAGTTAAACATTAGGATTTTTAATCTGGTGTGCCTTCAGTTTTATCTTCTCATTGCTTGTGTCGACATTATTGTAGCATCTCAACCTTAATATTTTAATTTGGTAGGTAAATTTGTCACACTTTCTTTCTCTATTGGAAAGCAGTTTGGCTCAAAGCGTACTGTTTTAAATGTGCAATATAAATAATATATCAATAATGGTGACTTGACAGTTAAAATTTAAAGGTTTCCAATAAAAAGCAGCAGATTTTTACATGACGACAGACAAATGTCTTAAATTACTTGTTAAATGTTTTATTTTCTGTGACACAGCTAAGGAAGTAAAGTATCCCTTTGCTTGCTTTCGTCTTCGCTGCAGGTTTCAGAGTCTCGCGTGGTCGAGTGTCCCAGCATCCAGATCACCACCATCTCGCCTGAGGACGAGTCGGCGCCCACCATCTCTAGCTACTGGGACATGAGCAGCAGCGGCGGGTGGGACAGGGAGCGCCTCTACCTCCCCCTGCTGGACCCCTTTTCTTACCGGGACAGATGCCCCGGCTCGCTCAGCCCCAGCCCCGCCTCCAGCCCCTCCTCCCGGGGTTGGCTCAGCCCCGCCTCCAGCTGCGACTCCCTGCTGGTTGAGGAGGAGGAGCTCAACGAGGCCGCCATCAATTTCGGGCTTTCGCCATCGTCCAGGCCGACTTCCCCCGGTGGTAAGAAGCGTAGAAACTCCCCGCTGGCCTCTCCTTGTACTTCGCGGAGAGGCAGCTACTCGGAGGAGCTGCAGGGCTGCAACCTGGAGGGAGGAGAGTCCAGCCCTCAGTCCCAAGCTCCGCCCAGCAGCTGTGAGCTCAGCATCCCGCAGAAAACCAGGAAGACGTCATTAGAGCAGGTAAAGATCAAGATCAGTGTTGTGGTGTTTCTATGATGTTATGGAAGTAGCAGCATCGCACTGAAGTGGTGGACTTTCTGCGTTCCAGTTGTCTCCCAGGGAGGTGGATCAGGAGCAGGCTCCAGGCCAGCTGCCAGAGACCCAGCAACCCAGGAGGGAGCCCCCCTCGCTGGGCATGGACTACCTCTCTGTGCCCCCTGCTCTGGCCTGGGGAAGAACCAGAGCCAGCGCCCACAGCCCTCTGTTCAGGCAAGGACACACAAACGCATGTAAATAACGTTCAAAGCAAGAAGAAATCACGTTAAAAGTTTTACTCAAACTACAAAATAACAGAAAAACACACGTTACTTTTTGAAGATGCATCTTTTCAGAAACTTGTCTTCAACTTTTCCAGAGGCAAAGTTAACGTTTTTTGAAATGCTATTTTTCTGAAAAGACGCAATTGATGAAAGTCACTTGTTTGTAAATGCAAACAAGGGCATGAAACCAAAATCTTGATCATTTCAGCATTTAAAACAGAAATCTGTTTCTCTGTGAATAAAGTTCAGCTTTGGTGAACTTTGACTTCAAAATCTGCTCCGCTGACCGTTTGCAAACCATCCTGACAGGACCGACCAATGAGGGAACAGAGTTAGTAAAGATTTTGTCACTAAAAATAAGATTGAACAAGAAAAACAAAGCCCAAAATGAAAAAGGGAAACACTGGCACTTGTATTGGCATTAAAAGCTCGATCCAAACTCTCACTAAAGAATAAACGTAGCAGACCTAACATCTTATTTTTCTCTGTTTTGAATCGTCCATTTTTTCTTCATGCCAGTCATATTTTGGTGACAGTTGCTTTCCAGTAGTTGTGGTTCTCAGTTTTAATTCTCTGTGGCTGTTTTGACGTGGAGTCGAGCGGTTGCAGGAAATTGGGGTAAAAGGGAAAATCATGCTTGCAACTTTTTCCAGTACAAGCCTTTCAATTCCACTGTTTCCTTTTTTTATTTCACAGAACTTAAGATTCCAAGTAATTTTATGGATATCATATCAGCTGCTTTGCAACATTTACATTTATAAAAACCTGCTCTGCCACAGACAAGAGATTTTTCTTTTATTGCAACAAACTACATCAAGCTTCTGTCACCATCTACCGTTCATTTCACTGTGCTCTTTTCTGCTGTGCTTTTAACTGATCTCAGTTGGCTGCTGGTTCACTTCCCAGTATTGATTGTGTTCGTCAGAAGTATCTGCTGTCACATGCAGTACGCTGTATTAAAACCAATCTGACTTTAAAGCCACTCTCTGGTCATTGATTCAACTCCTAAAGACTCATCTTTGTGTATCAAATGTAGTTGTTTTCCCTTTAAGATAATCAATTCCTGTCATAAAATGGTTTCAGTGTAACTCCGCATGTTGTTTCCAATAGAAAGTGCAGGTCTATGAAGAGACTGCCTCTTTCTCCAACCACCTCTCCACAGTAGCTGCAGCTCGAGCACACCAGCTCACCTACAACTGTGCTCAAACACTGTAACACCACTTGATGGTGACAGTTTGTAATATTAGAGTAACTCAGCTGTACACGTTCTGATTGGAAGCAGATTGTGAAGAAGAAGAATGATACTGAAAGCCCCCTTCTCTAAGTTGACAGGATTGGGTTTTTTTTTTGGTTTGTTACATATTAAACTCTGTGAAATCTGTGTTTTTAGGACCGTCATGGCTACTGTCTCAAGGTGTAAACGCTCAACCATTACAGCTTATTTCACTCATAATGTGTCTTTCAACATTTCAAAAAACACCATATGGACATGTTAACTTTTCACAACTTGATGCTCATTAGAGGGGGCTCTTGAGGAAAGTTATTCACGGTCTAGACTCTGTTCCACTGTGTCTGTTCCTGGACTTTTTGAGCCTACGTGAATGGATATTTTACAGCGGATGTGGACACACTGTATGCATAAGCTTACACACAAATTCAAATCTAATAGAATTAAAGCTACAGTAGACAAAAATCTGGAAACACAAAATAAAAGCAAGAATTTGAGCTTTCCCTTATAGTTTTCCCCTCTCTGTCCTAAACTTCTTCTTATGAGCACAGTAATATACATGTGCTTCTAAAGGGCATGCAACGCTAATCTAGTGATGCTGCTTCAACAAGGATGAATGGACCTGCTATCATTTAAGTTTTCCAGTCGTGATCCCAGTGTTTTTGTACAGCAGCATTTCTATGAGATTTACCGTTTACCTGTTTTCTTTTCAGACCTGTGTGCATGCAAAGCTCTTTGACACGACAGCAGTTTACCTGTCCAGGGGAGGAAAATGAAACTGGGAACACAAACTTAGGCGGATGCAATCATGAAGTTCTCTCCATCTCTGAAACTCTTCACTGACACTTGCGTCACTGCATTTATTGTCAGACTCTCTTTTAGAATCTGTTTTTGTTTTACTTTGCAGAATAGAAAGTTGTTGCCAGTGCTGGAAAAACAACTCTCCTGCTGGATGAATCAGGCTTTTTAACCATGTGAGGGGATGTGCAGGCTCGTTTGTATTTGTAAAACAGCCAATAAATAACAATGACACCCTCTCACTGAAAAGACCTCTGATTGCCTAAACTGTCTCATCATGGGATACATTTTCTGATGCTTGACAACAGAGGCAAGAAGTCTATTTTTTTTCTCATATCACTTATGTTGCAATATTCAGAAGAGGTTATTGGAGAATTTTTGCCAAATGATGCCGCAAAAAAATCCTGCCTACTCCAGCTTTAACCATCATTCATTCATCCAGATGACTAAAACTTCTTTCGTGTGCTGTACTTCTGTTTTGCCCTCATTGTGCTTTCATGTGTAAGTTATATTTAAATCTCATTATTTGGCTGCAATACAGCCATCAGGGATCAAATACGGGATCAGGTTTTTTTTTTTCAAACTCAATAAAATAAATGAATATGTGCTACTTCAGCGCTGATGCAGCTGTCTCTCTCCACTCTGTAGCAGTGTCCCATTCACAGCACCGTCTACAGTCGTTCAGTTTTATTCTGTTAAAGAAAAGGCAAAATTCTCAATATCCACTCAGATAACTAGAAACTGAAAAAAAGTAATAATAAATTTAAATTTGCTGAATTAGAATTTAGAGAAATAAGCTTTAGGATTGTGGTTGAAAAGAATAATTTAAGAAAACAAACAAAACTGTCCTGGACAAATTAGAAATCTAAATACCTGTCAACAGGTGCAGAAGTCTGATGGAGAGTTACAGAAAACGTTTGATTGCAGTGATTCCCTCAAAGGGTTCTTCAACTAAATGTTAGTTTACAGTCTCGTCATGCTTGTTTGCTTTATATATATTTTTGTTGAAGCAGCAATGTCACGATTTTCATTAAACTTTGATTTATTATTACTTTTGTCAATTTCAGCTTATTTCAGTGACAGCTGTTTTTTTTCCTTCTTTAATGGGAGGTTATGAATACATTTGACTGTAAATGGTTGTACGTCATGAATAACATCCAGTCAACACTGGATAAATACGGAAAAGTTTCATGTTGCTATTCAAAATTTTACACCTGGATTTACATTTCAGCTGCAAATGTTTGTCAGTTTCGCATATCAGTAATCAATCTCCTTGATTACTGATATCCTGTAAAAAAAAACAACATACTGATCGACCCCCAACAGTTGTTCATCTGCTTTGCTCCCTGGTTGTCCACATTCACTGCAGCTAAAACTGTCTGATTTAACACCCTTCAGGTCCAACGCGCTGCCGCCGCTCGACTGGCCGCTGCCGTCCCAGTTTGACCAGTACGAGCTGCGTATCGAGGTGCAGCCCCGTCCACACCACAGAGCCCACTATGAGACGGAGGGCAGCAGGGGAGCCGTGAAAGCTGCACCGACCGGACATCCTGTAGTCAAGGTGGAGCACAAACCTGCAGCTGCTGAAGCACATTATTAGTGATGCTGCACATATTGATCCTACTTTAACATCTCTGAGGAGTGTTTATGTTGAATGTAGTTTCATTTTAAGCTGAGATTTTGGTGAGATCGTGTCTGAAGACGCATGTTGTGCCTCGTCACAGTTTGATGTCACTGCTCACACTGTGTCCCTCTGCAGCTGTGTGGATACACCGAGAGGAAGCCGCTGTCGCTTCAGGTTTTCGTTGGAACGGCTGACGACCGATCGATCAGACCGCATCCCTTCTATCAGATACACAGGTACTGGGCTGCAGTATGTTTCTCTTTAGTGACAAGTTTATTATAACCATGCATGTTTTAGTTAATGTTCAAGGGACTCAACGCTCATGGGACACATCATCTGACCGCTGTGGTTTAACCGTTGCGTAACTGAACCACCAGCTGCTTCTACTGTTGGTCCAGCAAATTTCTTGCACTAGTTGTTCTCAGTGAAGCTTTTCTCTGAATGAGAGCAGCAGCTTAATGCAGAAAACAGGGAATCACTCAGTATGAGGGAACACATTCATATGAACTCTCGATAGAAGATATCAAAGCATCTGCTTTAATGTGTGCCCACACATTTACTGAACATTTAGCATTCTAGGGCGTCTTTAGGATAGTTTGGGACATCAGCGGCAGATCTGTTGAAAATGTCTTTTCCATATTCTTTGTACATGATCTTTTAATGGACAAGATAAGATAAGATAAAATAAGATATATGATACGATACAATACGGTAAAATGAGGAAAAATAACTTTATTAATCCCCAAAAAGGCAAACTTTGGTCACCATGCACACCGTAATAAGAGAGACAGAAGTGAGATGCTCACAGCAAAAAGGAAAAATGTTCTGCAGCAATTAAAACAGACGACTGAACAGATTTAGAGCCACTGCTCCACAAAAGCAAAACACAAATGCAATCAGTCAGTTAATAAACAAAGCTGACGATGGGTCATTAATGCTGGCAATCAACATGTTGGACGTATAAAACGATTAAAATATTATTTGAAAATGAGATATATTACATTCAAAAGTCTTAAAATATAACAAAGCTTTATAGCTGTAGTCACAGGATCCTCTAAAATGTTCAGCGAATCTTTTGAAGTGTTCACTCAACACATTTTTCCTAATTACTAAAAACATGGATAACTCTAAAATTAAAGTCTGACAGGTTTAGAATAGATGGATGTACTATTAGTGATCGATAAACCTTTTAACACTATAGGTCAGACAAATTGAAGCGTAATGAAATATAATGTAATATCAAATGTTAAAAAACACATTTTAATTAAATATATGCATGTGTGTTAATGCAGAGTTCTGATTAATGCTCACATTTAAAAAAAAAAATTAAATAGAAGATGCCAGAAAAGACTGTTAAATTGAATTCACAGAAGTCAAGGTGGCACTGAGTACAAAATATAAAGGAGATATAAGCCGTATAATGAGTTAAAAACATGAAAATCTTTACTTTTCAGAAGCTGTAATGAGAAACTGTCAGATTAGTGTTTTATATGGGACGCAATTTTTGTGTGATCCTTATATCAGGAAGCAGGGTTCAGCTTTGACAGATCTTTGACAGAGCTTTGATTTTAAAACGTTTCTTTCTCCTTCAGGGTGACGGGGAAGATGGTCGGCACGGCCAGCCACGAGAGCGTCCAGGCGGGAACCAAACTGCTCGACATCCCCCTGAACCCTGAGAACAACATGACGGCCCTGTGAGTCGGACAGAGACGGAGGAAACGTTTCCTCTTCATGTCTACACAACAAGGATATTTTAGCCTCGTATCTAGTTTTAAATCAGAAAAACAAAGTGGTGCAAATTAACTAAATATATATACTGACAGTTCAATAACGTATCAGTATTTAATTATACTTTCAGTCCACTGCTCGGTAGAGAAAAATATTTTACTTTTCACTCTACTACATATATTTGACGTATTATAATTTTGAAATAGAAAATGTATTTTATATCTTCAGTTTATGGAGTGCTCAATCTGCTTTTTAATTCTTCATAGCCTTTGAGAAGACTTCTTTAACAATCTGTCAGTGCCAGTTTTATCACTGCATTTTCCAAAAACTGGGTTTCCATTTTCATATTTCTTATGCAGAAAACAGCCTAATGTTTGTGTTTGAAGCTACAGATCCGTATTTTGTGATTCAATTTTAAAAATGATATACTGTTTATGTGAAAACACAACCAAAGATGTGATTTCCTGCATAATGAGTGCATCAACTTTTAAAACTTTAAGCAGATTTTGTAGGTCTGTACTTTTATAAGATAATGAAGACTTTAAACTGCGGCTTTTTTTAGTAGAAGTGATGAAATTGTGAATAACTTTTAATCACAGCTTAGAACCACCAGGCTAGTGAGATTAGAAAAAGTTTTATTATTGACACAGTGGGGAAATTTGGAGTGTTACATCAGCAGAAACGCAGGAAACATCAGTAAAAAAAAGTAAAATAAACAAGAGATATACCTAAACACTGTCGATACTATACAAATTCTTTAATTTACTAAAAATCTAGATATTGCAGAGATTCCTCTAAATGTTGGGAAACAGTGATATTGCACTGGGTTATTCCAAATGTATAAAAACATTGACATTGCACATACTCTTGTAAATATAGAGAAAACAGAGTCTTTTAAATGCACAAAATATTCATATTGCACGTTTAAATGCACAGATGTTGCACCAGAGTGAAGTGAGACAGTTAAGAATGTGACACTTAACAACTAGTAAATTACCAGCCCAGCGCTAATTTAAGGAACATTTTGTGTTTCTCAGCATCGACTGTGCCGGGATTCTGAAACTGAGGAACTCGGACATCGAGCTGAGGAAGGGAGAAACGGACGTCGGGAGGAAAAACACTCGTGTCCGTCTGGTGTTTCGGACTCACCTCCCTCTGGCGCCCCCTGTAGGTCCTCCTGGACGGGTCTTGGCCCTGCAGGTCGCCTCTCTGCCCATCGAATGCTGTGAGTGGCACTTTCATGGACATTCATATAATATTTATCTACATTTTCCAGTTGTGCACGTACTTCCTCTGCATTAGCTTTGTAAGAACAGCACTACTTACATCCGTCTTTCCTCGGTGCTGCAGCCCAGCGTTCGGCTCAGGAGCTGCCCGTCATCGAGTCCGTCAGTCTCACGTCCTGCTCTGTAGAAGGAGGCGAGGAGCTTCTGCTGAGCGGCACCAACTTTTTACCGATCTCCAGAGTTCTTTTCATGGAGAGAGGGACAGGTAAATGTTCAGTGGAGACACTAAGTCAGGGGTGTCCAATCCTGGTCCTGGAGGGCCACAGTCCTGCATGTTTTAGATGTTTCCCTTCTTCCAACACACCTGATTCAAATGATCAGGATCGTTATCAGGCTTCTGCAGAGCTTGATGATGAGCTGATCATTTGAATCAGGTGTGTTGGAAGAGGGAAACATCTAAAACATGCAGGACTGTGGCCCTCGAGGACCAGGACTGGACACCACTGCGCTAAGTCATCTAATGTGATCGACACTGCATGTGGAGAAATTAACCCTCCTATGAGCTTTGGGGTCAATTTGATTTACATCTCTGTCATTGACATCATTTTTAAAGTTTTATTTAAAGGGCCATTTACACATAAACTTGGGTAACCATTTTAATTATGATATTTTCTGGAGGTTTAAATTGCTGGGGTCAAATTGAACCCAAGGACAAAAGATGTCAGTAAATTTGAAGGTAATAGGAGGGTTAAAGAAACGAGTAGAAATAATGGCTGTAAAGTAAAGTCTTATTTGCAATGCAATCAAGAGATGCAGTTCATATCGGAAGATGCTTTTATTAGTAACAAAACAACACTTTTAAAATTTCGCACATTTGTAGCTTGGAAATTACTAATAGTTCTGAGATTTGCATGATACAAATGTTCATTTTGGTTAATGAGCAACTCTTTTTACATGTAAATAAACTGATAAGCCTTTATTTATCCCACAGGGGGATTCAGTACAAATGTCGGTACAAAAAAATAAAAAAAATCAACCAAAATATACACAAACACTAGTTGTAGAAATAACAGTATTGCACATATCAGGCCTACCGGGTGACCTGCAGGAAGGTTAACAGTCGCACACATACAGTACAGTTTTCTCTCAGTCGTGCAGTGGTTCAGTTAAAAAAAAACTGCAAAGAAAACAGTCTATTTTTAGCATTCACATGACTGAGTTTACGTAAATAAGCAAGAAATGTCGTGTCAGAGGCAGATTTTAGAACGAGCAGCGTTGCATCATGAACTGGGCTCGATGTTGTCTTCATATGAGAAGAAACTTTAATTTGTACACAACGATATGGTGTTAAAGCGTCTTTTTTTTAAGAGTGCAGGTTTAGGAGGAGTGGAATCATTAAAATAGTGTTGTTCCTAGTGTTGTCTTTCTGGTTAAAATCATCAGCTTCTTTAGACTAACATCCCTGCATCCATGTTTTTATTATTACTTGTCTTCCATCATTATTAAACCTCGTTATATTCTCAGTCTCAAGTAAATCCTCTGAACACCAAAACCCACTGGTGGGTTTAAAAGGTGTATTATTGTTGTGAAATTGCCCAAATTACACCATTTATAACAGAAAGAAACCATAAAAACACAGAGAATCATGAGATTTTCAATTTTCTTTGAACCTATCGTGTGTGTTATGCTTTGTTGGGGAAAATTACCAAATATAATCTTAAAATCTATTTATTCTACTTGTACTCTACTCATATAAATCTTTGTCTAGAATAAACAGCTTGCATTAGATTCTGTAAAAAAAAAAAAAAAACATGTAAAAAATCTGTGCTTTCTGGCACAACTTGAACCAGTGACCCACTGAGCTGCCACCAACAGCTAAAGATTTCATGAGTTCTTGGCTGAACTGCAGGCTGTGTGTTTCCACTGAGCAGAGAGGAGCCAAGTGTGGAAACAAGTTAGAAACTGAGACCTAAAGAAAACCTACTTGGTCAATAAAATAAATGCAGCATGGCTCAAAAACAGAACACAGAGGAGCAAGTTTTTGGAAGATACATCCAGCACAGGGAAACATCATTTAACACTGACATACAGAGTCATGTGAAAATGTCTAGTTTAGTTATTTCTGAATAATGTAAACAGCAAAATTTCTGCAACTTGTTTAGCTACCTTTTTTTTTCCAGCGTTAGTGACACCTGTGAGTCCTGTGAAAACTGTTTTACATGTTGATTCTTGTTTTTTTCAATTTTTGTACAATTAATAATCAAAGAAACTGAACTTTTTTTTTTCAATTATTGATGCACAAAAGATTGAAAAATTGCACATAAGACATTTCTGAGTTCTCTCTACTTCTAGTCATGGTTGTGCTGTTTCCATAGGACTTTATGTTGCACTAAAAATTGAGCCCACAGTGAGTAAATATGAAAAAGGAGCAAAAAACGTCCAGAAACTGCATGAGATCCAGAGGATTACAGTTTTATCAGTGATCATTGATTCATATTGATTCATTGATATATAGCAGACCTAATAAAAACAAACTAGAGGTAAGGCTGCACCCATGTAAGCATAACTCAAATATACTAATGCTAATGTGTTCTTACCCACCAGATGGTAAACTGCAGTGGGAGGAGGAGGCTCACGTCGACCGCGACAACAGCAACGAGGTAATCTTGTGACTTGTGAGCAGATAAACGGAAGCGTTTGATGAAGCTGCTTCATGTGAATCCCCGTCCGATGGTCTGTTTCAGTGTCTGCTGTGCGTGAGGGTTCCAGCCTACAGCGACCTGTCCGTCAGCCGGCCCGTGTCCGTCAGTCTCTATGTTTCTAACGGGAAGAGGAAACGCAGCAGCACTCACTGCTTCAAGTATCTACCTGGTGAGTGTCCGGTTGACCTTCATCTCTGTCTGCTGGCTTTTCTTTAGTTTGTGTGTTGTGTATTTTCACTCTTCTGACGTTACAGTCATCCCTGATATTGAGATTCACATGCAGCAATTACAGTGTCAATGAGCAGAAGTATTTTCAGTATGGGTAGCTGCAGTCAGAGGTCGACCGATGTTCTTCTTCATCAGGTCCAAAACTGATTTTTTTGGTAATCAAGGAGACTTATAACTTCTATTTTTAACTGAATTACATTTGAAAAAAAAATTAAATGTTGATGTAAACATTTTAAATAACGCCTACAAAAGACGTTGTTGAAATATGTTTGTATATTTATGTTTTACATGTTTACCGTTTCAACATTTATCCTTATCCGAGTGTTGATTGGCTGTTGCTCATGTCGTGTAACCAATCAGATGATGTTGTAGGCGGGACATTGCTTAATATCGCAGAGTATTGATTACAGATAGAGAAAGGGAAGCTGAATTAGAACCAGAGGAGGGTATTTTTAAACTTGTTTAAATGATTAGGAGTCAATTACAGGAAATAATGATACCCATAATCAAAAATATGCTAAATGTTGGATCCGATAGTTGACCTCAAAAACACGTGCAGTTTTATAGGAGCATAACTCACCTTTATACATCAATATCTTGAATTTTATTGTTTTTCTTTCTCCAAAGACACCTGACGTCTTTAAATAATTTAAATTTGCATTCATGCTGTGCAAAAAGGAAGTTTTACACAATAATTATCTCAAAAAAGCTAAAGATAAAGTTATTTTTATGAGTTTATTTCTGATTATTGTAGTTACTGAGCTGTTTTCTCATGAACTAAGTCCTGCACCACAAACATTTAACGTCATGATTTGTAAGTACTGAGTGAATTGTAAGTAGTTCTTTGAAAATACATTTTTTAAGTTCTTTTCAGCAAATGTTGACAGATGTGTAGCAGACTTTATTAAACTGAAAAAGAAGGAGCACATACATGTTTATTTCCCCCAAAACTAAGACATTGCTTTAATTAGGCTTGGTTGTGTGGCTCAGGTGGTAGAGGGGTTGTCCTCTGATTGTAAGGTTGGCGGTTCGATCCTCGCCTCCTCCACAGAAGTGACACTGAACCCGAAGTTCCTCCCAATGGCAGGCAAGCACCTTGAATGGCAGCTCTGTTGCCATTGGTGTGTGAATGGGTGAATGAGAAAACATTGTAAAGCATTTTGAGTGCCGCTAAGGTAGAAAAGCGCGATATTAAGTGCAGTCCATTTACCTTTTTTTTTTTTTTTGTAATTTGTAATAACAATGCAGTTATTAAGAGTCTAAAATATTTCATTAACCCTTCAAGCTTTGGGCTGTTTTGTGAAATTTCTGCCTGAAAACAACAGATTCAGTCAGTGACAGCTTTATAAAGTCAAGTTTTCGGCCAAACTGAACAGATTTTGGATGCATAAGTTGGGAAACACATGAGGGAATTTTGAACAGCAGTAAGTCTCCATCTTGTCCTCATCAGCAGGTCAGAGTGAGATCTGAAAAACACTCATTAGAGAATAATAACAGCCCATTAAACACTGATGTTACTGAATGAATCTGTTCTAGAAGTCTTGACTGCAAATCTGATGCAGCAGAAATGAGGCACAACAAAAGCTACGTTTTAATCACAGTAGTAACAGGGAACTTCTCTGTTGTTTATCAGTTGCTTCATATTAAAAAACCCAGCCTGATTGAGTTTGAACTGCTGAAAAAAACCCACATTATTAGCAATATTTAGCACTTACTGAGGAGGAGGGTGTGTACATTCTAATTAGTATAGTTCATGGATGTTGTTTTTCCTCACAGTGATGTTCAAAGAGGAGGACCCCCTGCTGTCCAGGCCCTCGGTGGTGCCTCTGGATGGGGGGACGGTTTGTCCGTCGGGAGGTCCGCCCAGGATGGACCGGGGTTACCATGACGACCGAGGCCTGGGCTTCCACCTGCCCCCCTACCCCTCCACCTACTCCCCTCCCTGCCCGGCCATGAGCTACCACGAGGAGTTCTGCTCCAAACCCGACGCTGCCGTGGAGGAGCCCGGCGGGTCCAGGGCCGCCCTGTCCGAGCGTCACCCCAGCTTTGAGAACCTGGAGCTGGGCTTCACCGAGCTCCTCCCCCCCTTGTACCCCCGCGGCCCTCAGCCTCCGTCCCCCTCCCCGTCCCCCTGGCTGGACTCGCCCTACCTCTCCTCCTCGCCCTCGCCCTCCCACTCCTCCTCTCTCAGCCCCTTCCCTGCTGGGAGTCCCATCTCCACCTCCCCACTGCCTCCCATCCCCACCTCCCCTTACCCGCAGTACTCTGCCTACCCTCCGGAGGTGTGTCCCTCCCCTCCGTCCAACCCCAGCCCCTATCAGGACATCTGCCCTGCACCCTACTCCCACTACGAGGGCTGGGACCCCCAGGGGAGGGTGCTGGGGACGGGACATGGGGGAGAGAGGGACGCCAAGATCCAGGAGTGCCCTCTGGAGTTTACCACCTCTGCCTCTATGCACCACATTACCTTTGAAGAGGGTGAGATACATCTTTTAATCTAAATTTATGCAATAATTTGCTGATAAAATGAAAAGATAATGTTGATGTAGATGAGATTTTAAGAAGGATACTAGAAAAGATTAGTATTTTTTGTGGTATTATGTTCAGTTTGTGTGTGTGGATGATGGAAGATTGAATGTGTTCTGCATGGAAAATGTGTAAATACATGGTTATGTGCATATCTGTCTCTAGTAGAAGTACAGATTTGTAAAGGGACTTTTTAAAAGCGATTATACATAATTTAGCTTTTTTTTGTTGATATTGAGGTGTCATGAGGTGTTTTGTGTTATTAATGTAGTCGGAGACAATCTCTGCAGTCTACTGATTAACCTTATTTTGTCAGGTTGGCCTTTTCTTCTATTTTCAGTGCAATTGAACTTTAAAAAAGTGTATTTTTACATTTATATTACCTACTCAGTCCATCACAATTTAACAGCATACTTTAAAACAGCTCACCAAACAAAACACTGGATGCTCTGTTGCTGTTTTAGACCTTGAACATCCAACAAGGTTTAGTCCTGTAATTGTGATTTATCCTCTTCTTCACCTTTGCTGCTTAATGGGGCAAGAAAATACACATTGTGATAAATGTTGGAGGAAAACTGGTTCAAGTATGTGGCTGATGCTGTGTGATCAAATGGTAAAAAAAAAAAAAAGTCCTAATTTTAATGTTCTTGATGTTTGAGATGGGCTACAGTTACAGTCCCACTAATCCTTCATTCTTCAAACCAAACATACACAGAATCTAAAATATCTATTTTCTATATTCCACTTTTTGCATTAACATAACTTTACATAACTTTATCCTTTAATTTAGTATAAATTTCTTTTTGGAAAACTGAAAAGGCTGTTATTGAGACATCTGTCAGTTGAAAAATCAGACATTGTTTTTTAAAATAGGCTGCTTCAGTTTTATCTTTCACTGACAGAAATCTGGCGATAAACATATCAGAAGCTTATCTTGCAGTTGTCGCAACGCCTGCTGGCATTTTTAGACATTCCCTGTCTTAACTGATTAAACGGCATTTTGCAGCATTTGGCTATTAGTGTTTTTACAGAAGTGCATGCAAGCAAACTTCTTCTGTAATCCTGACTTAAGCAGGTAAAAGAGTCTTGTTTTACGGTCAAAGTGGCATCAGTTCCCTTTTCTTTGTAATATGTGAAGAGCTCATTTGCAGAAACAGATAACTCCACTTTTGTAGATTTTCAGGAAACTTGTTTTTTTGTTGTTTGCTTGAGATAATATCACTCAAACTGAAGTTGAGTGGATTTGACTCACAATATGACAAATGACAACAATAGAGATAACGTAAGTTTGACTGCTATTGTCTCAGGTAGACGATGGAAAAGTGGGTTTTCTGAAGGTTTGTAAAGATGGAGTTATCTGTTGTTGTAAATGAACTCTTCAGTATTGTCTTCCCTTCATTTTTTCTTGAGATTCCTACAAATCTACTGCAAAAATGTTGCTTCATTTTTTGCATCATAACAAGAAGAGTTGCATAAATAGTGGCAGTTGCTTTTGCTTTTCAAATGAATGTGTGTAAAATTACCTTCAAGTTTTTACATACAGGCTCTTTGATTCTATCGATGCATAAACTAAGCAGACTGATACTGAGTGTATGAGGCAGATAAATGGATGACAGCAGCAGGATTGTGATTCTGTCCTCCTCTTCCCTCCACAGTTTCAGAGTTCATCGGGGAGGACATCCAGTCATACCAGTCAGGCTCACAGATGGACAACCAGCCCAACTGAACCGCTCGAGGCCCCCGGTTGACACCCAGCATCATTTTAATTTCCTTATGCACTTGGTATTAAGATATGCCGCTGCAGCAGTTACATGTAATATTGACAGGGGGACTCTGGTTACAAGGACACTGTTTTAATTATGACAACAGGTAACTGTTTTATAAAGGGAAACTAATGTTTTTAACATGTTTTCAATATAAATTATACAAGAAACTGTTTGGGTTGTGTGTGTTGTTTCTTTTTTAGCTGCAAAAATCAAAATTTACACTGAAATCATAAGGGAAGGACATTTTTTTATACATTGTTAATGTGTCACAATGGTGTTTTTTTTAAAAAAAAAATATATATATACTAGAAGCCATATCATGAGAGAAATAAGCAGTGAACACCTTGACTGAGTATTTTCACCTTGAAACTACAGTGTACCGATGATCGCCTCAAAAACTCAGATTCAAACTTTTAGGGTTTCATATGAAACAAATCTAAAGAACCAATCCTTCCAACTTGCACAGTGGAGTTTTTCCATTATTATTCTCCCTTAAAATTGGTTTCTGGTTTGAAAATTTGAAGCCCTGAATTACTCTAATTTTACAAGAACTGTGTAGTTGTTTTACAGTGTTTAAGCAGAGTTGTAGGTGAGCTGTGTGCTGAAACTGCAGCGAATAGAAAGATGTGTGGAGACAGAGGTGGTACGTCGTAAATTTTCACTTTAGGAAACAACAGTTTACATGAAAGCCATTTTAAGGCATCAAAAGATTATTTTCATGGATTAAAAAAAAAAAAAAAACTTTATATGTAAATTTGACACTATTCAACATTTTTTTCTACAATGCTCCACACCTATAAAATATTTGTGCACTGTTTAATTAAACAGCTATTTTATTTTACTGAAAAATCAACTGACTGAAAAAAGATTGCATTAGCCGTAACATTTCTCTGCTCACTTCCTCAAACTTTCTGATTAATAATGACAGGATTTAGATTGTTTTTTGTTTTTTTTGGCCAAATAGCAGCAATTATTTAGTCTATATATATCTTTATAAAAGGTAATGATTTACTAAAAAGAACTTATGATAAGATCTCGATGTTTGCAAATCAACTTCAGACAGCGTTTCTCAGTTTATGTTGGCTGGCGTGAAGGTAAAGAAGCGTGGAGACGAAGTGTAATTGTGTAAATCTGGCCTCTTGGAAAGTCTGATGTGAACAAGCTGTGGCTGTTGAAGCTGTTTGAAAGCTTTTGTAAGAGGAACAGTTTGTCAGATTGTCAGCGTTGTCTTGAATAGTGACACCTGGAGGGAGGAGGGAATCTGGACCAGAGCACTTCAGCAGACCTAAATCAGCAGCTGTTTGAGATGTTACTCGTCTTGCTGTAAAACTTCACAGGTCGTATTTTCAGCTGTTTGTACTTTAAATAACTGTGGCTGCAAGAGAGATAGACAAAAGTCTGTAATTCCTGCAAAACGGCAAAAGCAATAAAATCGCAGCAAAGCTAACAAAAAGGCGCTAAGATAGCAATATATGGTTTCTTGACAGTTTTATGGGTCTATATGGTTCAGTGGGACCATATATGGGCACGCTGGGAGACCAAAAAGCCTAATGTTTGAAGGGATAGATATAGCCGCTGTGGAGCACGAACATTTCTGAGCTTACTGTTGGATTCAGGAGCTATAACTCCGTCGAGACTTTTCCAGCTCCTACTTTTTGTCTCTGGCTGCAGCTCAGGAAAGGAGGTTACACATGGAAAGTTCAGGGGAGGTGAAGGCACCGAAAATAACTAGAAAGGAAAGCTGCCGGTGTTTAAAGCGTCCCCTGTTAATGCAAATAACATTATAAATAGTTTGTTTAAATTCAGTGCATATAACAACTGAGAGTCATATTGAAGGAAACAAATGGTGGTG